ATCAGAGCGTGTTAATAATATAGGAAATACTAATGCTCTGATGGTCCTTTCGAAAAATCCTCTCAGTGAGCACCTAGAAGCCAAGAGGAACGTACGTGGCAAATTTCAAGTTTGTAGGCTTTATGGTTCTGGAGATTTTGTGATTAATGCATGAGTGGTTTTCGCTTTTATATATATAGATTCCAACAAGGACTGAATTTTGACTCACTTTCAATAAAAACACAATACACTTTTTAATAATAGGGTAAAAATGAAGCTCAGACATTGCAAATTATAATTCTACAGGATTACAATTGATTCTAAATGGTTCATCAACATTGCTCCTGATAAGATTCAATTTACGATTGAAATTAAATATATTGTATAAACAAACTTCTGAGGAGGTATTTGCTTATAGTGGTTAATTGTCTTCACTGTTAGGAAGTTTCTCCTTAATTCCAGGTTGCTTCTCTCCTTGGTTAGTTTCCATCCATTGTTTCTTGTCCTGCCCTCTGGTGCTTTGGAAAATAAATTGAGACACCCACCCCCCTCTTTGTGGCAGCCTCTCAAATACTGGAATTCTGCTATCATGTCCCCCCCCAATCCTTTTTTCTCAACTAGCCAAACTCAAATCCTGCAACTGTTCTTCATATGTTTTAGTCTCCAGGCCTTTAATCATCTTATTTGCTCTTCTTTGCACTTTTTCCAAAGTCTCAACATCTTTTTTGTAATGTGACCAAAACTGGATATACAGTATTCCAGATGCGGCCTTACTAAGGCTTTATAAAGCAACACTAATACTTCACATGATTTTGATTCTTTTTTTTTTAATACAATTTTATTGATTTTTTATACACAAATAAAATATAATAATTCTGTTTAACATCGGATTCGCAGTGTTTATACATATATACATGAATAAGTGTCTGGTGTCATTTGTACTATACATTTCTAATTAATTTCTGCACCTTTTGTTTCTTCCTTAATTCTATCATTTATCCATTCGTACCATCTTCCCCACACAGTATCATAATCAGAATTTTCATCGTCATTTATCTCGTGAGTTAATTTACTTATCTCTGCACACTCTAATATTTTATTAATTATAAGGTCATCTGGTGGTAGGTCTTTCTTTTTCCAGTATTGAGCGTATGCTAGTCTGGCAGCTGTAGTTATGTGTATTAGGAGGTGGACCTTTTCCTTTCCGTACCCTTTCTTTACCATTCCCAGGAGAAATATTTCTGGATTCAGATCAATGTCTTCTTTAAGTATGTCTTTCAACCATCTCCGAATTTTGCTCCAGTACCTTTTTGCTTCGGGGCATGTCCACCACGTATGAAAGAAGGTGCCATGACCATGGCCACATTTCCAACAATTTGGCTGCGCATTGGGAAACATCTTTGCTAGTCTTGCAGGTGCCAAATGCCACCTATGAAGCATTTTGTAGTGATTTTCCTTATATGTGGCTGCTCTAGTTAATTTATAATTTTTATTCCAGGCTTCTTCCCATTCATTAAAATTCAAACTGTGTCCAATATTTCTCTCCCATGCTCTCAATTGATTTCTAATTATATCCTCATCTCTGTCTTCCTCTAATAAATAGTTATACAGCTTGGCCAACGCTTTTTTCCCTGGTCCCATCAAAATTTTGTCTAATCCATTATATCCTAATTCTAGGCCATACTCTTCTTTATCTTTCTGGTATCTTGATTTTATTTGCAGATAAGTGCACCAATCTAAAGTTATACCTTGGTCTCTCAGAGCTTCATTTGATTTAATATTTCCCCCTCCATCGACAATGTCTTTGTATCTGCACAATTTCTCCATTCCCCACCTGTTGGGGTAAATCATTGCCTCTACCGTGGAAAGCCAGTTTGGGACTTTTGAATAGTATCTCTGCCTGATTCCCACCCACGTTTGTATTAGGGAGTCTCTAATTTTATGCCTGTGGAAATAGGTTTTCTTTTTATTGTCTTTGTCCCATAGATATGCATGCCACCCTTTCTGTAGGTCATGTCCTTCTAACACTAAGATTCTCTTATTCTCCAAGGTGATCCAATCCTTTATCCATATCAGCTTTGCTGCTCTGTAATACATTTCCCAATTTGGGAGTCCAAATCCTCCCACATTCCTTTTTTCTTGTAGAATTTTAAGTGAGATCCTTGATTTTTTTCCCTCCCAAACAAATTCCCTAACGGTCTTATTTAATTCTGAAAAAAAAAATCTTTAAAATTACTGGTAAATTTTGATATAAAAATAAAATCTTGGGGAGGATGCTCATCTTAATTGCCGCAATTTTGCCAATAAGTGATAATTTGATCTTTTTCCATCTATCCAGATCTTGTTTTAATTTATTAATTAATGGAGTATAATTATCTTCTTTTAGAGATGAGCACCTTTTGGTTAGCCAAATTCCTAAGTATTTTATTTTTGGGACAACTTGTAAGCCCAAGGTTTCTTCTATCTCTTTCTTCTGCATCTCAGTTACATTCTTAGTAAGTATTTTGGTTTTAGATTTGTTCAATTTAAAGCCTGCCACCTCTCCATATTTACCCAATTCCTCTAATACTTTTTGTCCAGATATTAATGGATCTTCTAATATTAACGCCACGTCATCCACAAAGGCTTGCGTTTTATAAATCTCTTTTCTAATTTTTAGGCCTTTGATTTCCACATGATTTTGATTCTACACCTCTGTTTCTACAGCCAAGGATTGTATTTTTTGGCTGCTGCCAAAAAGTGCTGCACAAAAAAAATGCTGCTTCACAGGGAATACAATTAAAGCTGTAGTTTTGAGACTATTGAAGATTAAAACCATATTCCTGACAGTTATTGGTGCCAATGTATTACATTCAAAACTAGTATTATCTTAAGTGTTTTTGTGGTGACTTTAAAACTGCAACACTAGGAGTGAATTATGCATAAAACTACTGGTTATCATGGGATTTTTGTAAATAGAGATTTATTCGTGGCATGCTTGTTTTTTATTTAATGCAATATGTCAAAATGACAATTACAGGCTGAGCAAGAATCTTGCCTTTATTATTTAAACCAAACTGACTATTTAGGCCTTAGGGTAACATACAAACTCAGCCATTGATAGCTTGGCAAAGTAATGTCCTAAATTAGATTTAAAGGATTAGTTCCTATGTCCTTCATTTCCTCCAAATGAAAATATTTATATAATGTTTTAACTATAACAAAACTTACCTGAAATGTCATGGTTCTGTAGGACGAAATATCCTTCTGGTTCAGCTCCAAGTGGGGAAAAAGACACTGGAAACATGGAGACTGCTTGGAAAGATGGTTTAATGGTGGACAGGATCACATGGTTTGAGTTCCTGAACAGAAAAGGGGCGAGATGCAGTGAGTCCCCACGTTTTATGCCCTCTCTGGCTTTGAACTTCCTGGGGCCCAGAAAGAGTATCCTGATTGGTTGTCAAGACTCCCAGGGGGTGGGGGTCTTAGCTAGCCTTGCTGGCTGATATAATCTTCCCAGGTGCCATGTGTTGAGTTTCTGTTGCTAGATGGGTCCTATTGTGTTGCAGATGATGGTCCATGGACAAAGATTGAGTTTCTGCCTCTGGCCCATTGACAAAGGGTGGGGGCAGGAAGATGGGAGCTGCTTCGACTTTAAAACATGCTTCTCCATTTCTCATCCAGGGAAACATAATATTCTGCCTTTTTAATATTTCTCAAAATATTTCATTCCAATTCCAGAACTGAGTTTATTACAAAACAAAACAACAAAATCTGGATTATGGTAACAGCCACAAAACTATTAAGTGTAATTCCTGAGAGGGAGGAGCAGCTGTTACTACAGTCTGGATCCACTGCATGGTTTTACACCCTTAAAACAACCATACAAACTAGTGTAGGAAGTTAGCACCCACCCCTTTTCTAGAGAAGTGAAATATTTTAGGAAATATGAAAAAGGGCAGAATATTATATTTCCCTGGGATAAGCATGTTTTTAAGCAGCTCCCATCTTCCTGCCCCCACCCTTTGTCAATGGGCCATTAAGGCTTGGGCCAGTCTATTCTACATAACAAAGATCTACCTCCTTCAGGCAGAGCCATAGTAGGAATTGCCAAAGATCCAACAAAGATAGGATTAGCCCTCTACACAATAGCAGCAGAAACTCACCACATGTGACCATCAGACAGCAAGGCTAAGACCCCAACCCCCTGGGAGTCTGACAACCAATCAGGATACTCTTTTGGGGCCCCAAGAAATGCAGAGCCAGAGAGAGCATAAAACCCGGAGGATTTACTGTATCTGCCCCTTTTCTGTTCAGGAACTCAAGCCATGTGATCCTGTCCACCATTAAACCATCTTTCCAAGCAGTCTCCATGTTTCCAGTGTCTTTTTCCCCACTTGGAGCAGAACCTAGGAGATTTCTTCCAACACTAGCAAATGCCGATTAAGATCTAAACCCACCTCTGTACTCATTTCTTCTCAATTGATGGCACTCTTGGTGGCTACCACTTCTTCAGCTAAGCCATCTTAAAATAGCTTGAACCTCAATAAAAGCGTGAAGCAACCCCGGTTAATGATCACCCTCGAGAAATGTCCGTAAATAAAATAACCATTAGATTTCTGCACCAAGCTACCGTATGCAAACTTCAATTACAAAGGCGTACAGTACCACAAAACAAATCGCGTTAAAAGTTTAACCTGGCGTGCACATCCATCCAATATTTTCATTCCCTGGGAAAACAGAGGAAAAGCAATTCCTTGGCAAAAAACCTCACATTTTCTCAACCAAATTAGGTTCAACGACCTCAAATAAAAATTAACCCCCGGCTTCCTCAACGCGACCGACGCCTTTGCACAAGCTGAAGCCACTGCAAGTCCTCCTCCGACGCATGCGCGCTAACTCCCTTTCTCTCCCTCGCTATAGTCCGCCGCCGAGGGGGCGAGGCGGTTCCTTTGATGGACAAGCGCGATTTGCCAAAGAAAACAAGGAGCGGGAGACGCCCCGCCTATGGGAGTCCAGAGGAGGCGGGGCGAGGCCTGGGCCGGAAGCGTCGGGCGAAAAGGGAGAGGAGAGGGTGTGTGTGTGTGTTTTTTGTTTTTTTTTGCCGTGGTTCGGCCCGAAAGGAAGACAATTTGGGCGCCGAGGCGGTGAAAGGTAAGCGGCGGCTTTCGAGGGGAGGGCGAGGGGCCTGTGCGGTAGGAAAGCCATGTCACTCGGGACTCTTTCCTTACTACAAAGGAGCAGAATAGCTTCGGTCCATCAAAACTTCCTTGCTTCCTTCCTTCCTTCCAGCGGCCGTGGCCTCCCTTTGTAAATCCGGAGTAGCGATTCTTGATAGGGATCTTGGAGCGCCTGGGAGAAAGAGCGTGGCCGGAGAAAGGGGTTTAACGTCGGAATCGGCCGAGCTTTGACTCCAGATCGGGCTGTCAGGCGAGGGAGGCTTGGACCGAAATTGCCTCCCTGGTCTGAACCGAAATCTTTTAACTGCGTTAAAAGCGGAAGCCCTTCGGCTGGATCCGATCTCACGGGGGAGCCCTGTAGCCGGTGGAAGAGCTTTGTCTGTGGGAAGGCTGGTTTCCCACGTCGTGGGACTGAAAAGGATACATTTCCTTTGGCTCCAGGCCAAGATCCGAGGCCCATTCATAAGGATCTTGGCTCCGTTGACTTAGATCGGAGTTAAGTTCTCATCCTTTCTTTAAAGCGGGTGTGTGTGTGTGTGTGTGTGTGTGAGGGGGGCGGTTTCCCTAAACTTTTTGCCGTCGCATCTCCCGTTGGTGTAATCTTAAAATTGCGCACCTTTCCCCTAAAGACTGACACAAATAAACAATGAAACCGGTCTCTGTACGGTATCGAAGAGTTGAAAACAATGCAGTGAAATTTGGTGGATTTCTTGTAACGATATAACAAAAGGGTCTTTGTTTCTGAGGCAGGTATACCTCAGGCTTTGGGGAAACGCGTTTTAAAAAGGGCATTATCCTGTACTTTTTGGCTTCTCGAACAGGAAAATAGCTGTGTGTTTTATGGCACCTTTAAAAAGAGACACTCTTTTGTGGACCAGAATCCAGTTTAACAGTGAGAAATGTTTGGTGTTGATAAAAAAGGCTTATTTAATCAAAGAAAACAGGAGAACAAAATGCAAGATGAAATTACAAAATATATAAAATAACCATGGTGACATTCAAAAATTGCAATTGCTAAATGGCTGATCAGTACTAAGTTATTGGGTTGTAAACTTGACAACTATTGTGCTAACTATGGTTTGATTTATCTGAACTATTGAATATATTATAATTGGGTTGACATATATCAGGCTAAGCAATATGAAGCATTATTTACAAAATATAGTGCTTGGATTAACACAACATGCTAAATTACAAAAACCATGTTATGGCTTGGAAAAAGATTTGAACTAATCATAGCATGAGCAAATCATAAATAAATTGCTATTACATTATTTTAATTTACATTTGTGTGCTTATATTGTGTGTTTGGTAAATATTTTGGCAGCAGTAAATTAATAACTTGCATATAAGTTTTCATATAGCACAATGCCAATGTTTCTTGAATTATATTCTCCCCTGTCTTTGCTATATAGTAACATTTTTTTCTTCTTCCCAGGACTGCAAATGTGCCAATTTAGAATTACATTCCATACATCTAATAAAGTGGGCCTTTGGCTTACAAAATGTTAGGGATATCTGGTACAGAAGATCAAAACTTAAACAGTTGTCTGGAAAACTAAACTATCATTTATTACTGATGAAGTAATACCATCTTCTGCTACTATACATTGGGATGAAAGTAGAGATGAAATTTCTCTGTAAAATACTTCTGTATTTGCACTTAGATTTGGGGAGAGGGGAGAATGGAGAGGAATGAATGGGTGAGATGGTGCTTTTGGCTCAATTTAAAATATACCTGCCTCAAATCACTTATTTGGCTTTAAAGCAAATATTTATAAAGAATAAAAATCAACTTGTATGGGATATGGCTGTAGGTCAAAAAATGAGGAAGCTATGGCCAATCAAATATCGCTGAACTATAATGGTAAACAATCCTGAAAGGACCAGAAAAGCACATATTCTGATCAGTATTATTTTTGTGAGGGTAGGAGCGTTCATAGGCATACTTGAAGGCAAATAGAATACTACTTTGTTGTGATGATGATATCTCTTATAAAGTTATTCCTTTATAATTTCAGATTTGCTACTGATTTGTAAGTACTGTATTAAAGACACCTAAGGAAAGTTAGAAGAACAGATGTAATTGAGGACTGGTATTTTTTCCATGCTTTCCAGGTTCTAATGCTTTTCTGTTAACATGGAAAAACAGAATTTTTGTTACTTTATTGGATGTAGAACAATTTCACATATAGTTGTCATGATTCTCAATTTCATATTAAACAATTGATCACTAAATGGATTGTCTGTCATTTTCTTTTAATTGTCTCTGGATCAAAGGATGCTTGTTAATGTTATTGTATCTGATTACAAGATACATTGACCTCAGAGCTAGCCAGTTGTATTTTACTGTACAATGTAAATCTTGGCAAGATATCCAGAATATACTTTAGAATATCATGCCAATCCAGAGCATGAGATTTATTCAGAAAACCATTATTCATTTTCCTATGAGTAAACCATGTGAACACAGCCACTCTAAAGCAATTAATTACAGTTTAGTCCTTCAAAACAAATTGATACTCAGTAAAATAAAAAAAATACAGATCCTATGATCTAGAGCTGGATGGTAGACTTTATTAAGTGTGCATCAGAACTATGTTATCCTGTGGTGTAAAACATTTTTGTTGAATATATATTCTGCTTAAGAACAGTTTATCTATGAATGAAGCCATACTATTTTGTAGCCCACTATGGACTAGATGTGAACTTTCTTCTTGGCCCAATTTACTTCAGTCATTCTAGCTTATATCTTTTGTAGGTTAATTCTTATTTTTAGTTTCCTTTACATATAACATAGTATTGAGTAATAACAGTTTTAATAAATCCTCTTATGAGGGTACATACATGCAATTTCAGATTGCTTTCCCATGTTTTTCCAAAAGCTCAGTGGCAGTTACTACAGAGTGTATCAGATGTCCTTCTACAATATCAGTCCCACTAGTTTGCATCCAGTGTGTTCTGTGTAGCCTGCTTATTTTAGTTTGTTTAGTAAATCATGGGTAAGTATAATGTGGAGATGCAAGCAATATAAGAATGCACCCAACATGCTAACATAGCATGGCTAACCAATACCAAATCCATGGATAGATAAATTAATGGATAGAACGATTACTAAACAACCCAAAAAACCCCAGGCTAGCTTCATTTATATTGAAAACAGATTTCTTGTGATGATCAGTTCTTGCTTTTTATGAGGAAAAAGCTGATGATATGAGGATTAGAGCCACCGTGGATAAGGTGCGGAAAGCCTTTTTTCTTCTCCCATTTCAACCCTTGGCACAGATATGAAAAAGGGGAAGAAATAATGGAGCTCTGTGATCCTTTGGATCTGATTCCATGTAAAGATGCTTCAGAACCCCCAGGGGTACAAATGCAACAGCTGTTTGTATCTTTAAAGCAGAATGTCTTTTCCTACTTTATAAAGCAGAAAGGTGCTGTCATTGCACTCTACATGGTTGAAAGCATTCTGTGGAATCGAATGCAAAGGGTTTACCAGCTCTGGAAAGCATACCTGGAAAGCAAGTTACTGCAACTTGATAATATTTTTACTCAAAATCTTGATTTGAATAGCATGCTCATTTCTTATTTAACTGGCTTCATATGGTCTGATGCAAAAATCATGTTATTGCTCCTGTTATTAAATAGGGAGTCAGAAAATATTACTGAGAAGGACATCCAGATCTACTTTCCACTCATCTTTGTCATGTCATTTTTGAAACCATATTTTGATAATAAATATATAGTTACAGGTAGTCCTCGACTTACAACCACAATTGAGCCCAAAATTTCTGTTGTTAAGTGAGACATTTGTTAACTGCGTTTTGCTCAATTTTATGACCTTTCTTGCCACAGTTGCTAAGTGAAACACTGCAGTTGATCAAGTTAGTAAGCTGGTTGTTAAGTGAATCTGGCTTCCGCGTTGACTTTGCTTGTTAGAAAGTAGCAAAAGGTGATCACATGACCTTGGGACACAACAACAGCGATAAATATGAACCAGTTGCCAAGCATCTGAATTTTGATCACATGATCATGGAGATGCTGCTAAGGTTGTAATTGAAAAATGGTTCTAAGTCACATTTTTCAAGGCCATTGTAACTTTGAACTTTATCACTAAATGAACTGTTGTGTAAGTCGAGGACTACATGTAAACTAAAAGTGGTAGGGCATTTCCTGGTAATAATGTAGTCTTTAGTATCCCTTAGCACCAATCCAGGGAGGGAAAAAAATGAATTCTCATCTTTACCTACTCCTATAATGTGTTTTTGGGCTTGCTGTATATAACCCCCACATAGGGTGCAGACATGTTGAAAATGATTGCCCACACCTCTAGGCCTCAGATAATCTTTTCTCCTTAGTTCATTGTGTCACTTCATAATATCCTTCGAATTTAGTCTTCAAAACCAGAAGTTTAGCTGTCTTCACTCAAATTGGCTCATTATTTTCATCTTTTAATTTTAGATTATTCATTTATCACTTTCCAAATACCATTAGTTACAATAATTGTTGTTGTTGTTGTTTTTAATTTGATTTATATGCCGCCCTTCTCCGGAGACTCAGGGTGGCCTACAATGCGTTAAGCAATAGCCTTCATACTTTTGTATATTTATACAAAGTCAGCTTATTGCCCCCACAAACTGAGTCCTCAATTTACCTACCTTAGAAAGGATGGAAGGCTGAGTCAACCTTGAGCCTGGTGAGATTCGAACTTACAGTAATTGCAGACAGCTGGTGTTAATCACAATACTATTAGTCTGCTGAGCCACCAGGCCCTTGTTTGTATTCTCTTCATTGCCATCCCATCCCTCTTCAAAATTACTTGTAAAACTGCATTCTTCTTTCTGTACAGCAGAAAATATACAGTGGTGGTAGTTACACTATTTATACATGGATATTTATATTCTAAGATGTATCAATCATATTTAATTTCTTTCTGATGCCAGAATTTACGATTAGCCTACCTGAGAAATTGTTTATTCTGGTTGAAATGAATGGAGGAAGAAGCCTTCAAAGGGTAGACAGCAATTTTTTTTAAGAATGCATATTCTGAACTACAATGTTGCTCATTTTTTTGCATCGTATTGATTTGGTGCACAACACTTTGCTGCCTAATTGTGATTTATAGTCAGGAGTGTTTATTAACTTTAAATTCAACTCACATAAGTATCCTTGTATAGCTCTGCAGCTAGTTCTGATATATTGTAAGCGATGTTAAAGTGCAAGTTTAGACAAACTTTGGTTTGGAACAGATTTGCCAATCATAAATATATGGTAAGTGTGAAATTACTGGACAATAGTTACTTAAGCGTCATTAATCTCTATACCAAACTGCTTTTTCTACCCACTGATTTAGAAAGAGCTGCTAAGCTAGTTTTTCATTTGAGTTTGTTCAAATAAATTGTAGGTTTTCAGAACTTCTTTCTTTTTAAAAAATTTTTACAGCTGCAGTAACTCAAGAAGAAAGTCCCAATGGCAGAACTATCGGCACATTTTTCACAGGTCCCGCGTGGGCAACTGAGAGAAAACGCTCCGGACAATCAGCTGACCAATACTGTACGTAAGAGATGATTTTATTACATGCCAAAATATAAACTGAATGGATTACACATAGTAAACATGCAGGATCAGTGGCATATTAAGAGTAGGAGACAGCAATCTGCCCCTGGTGCAGGTAGTAATGGGGTGCGTTGTATGGTGACTTGGGGGCAAAGAGGACACTATCCAGAATATTGGTAGCAGATATGGAGCTAGGTCAGTGATGGCTAACCTTTTCGCCATTAGGTGCCAAAAGCGGGGGCAGCGCAGGGGAGTCACATGCACGCATGCCCACATCCATAATTCTATGCACCCCGCCCCCCATGCTCCCCCCTGCTTTTTGCACATGATGGCCCGGTGGGCCCAGTATGCCCGTTTTTCGCTCTCCCCAGGCTCCACAGCCTTTCTAGGAGCCTTGGGAGGGCGAAAACGGCCTTCCCCACCTCCCAGAGGCCCCCCGGAGTCAAGAAACAGTGTGTTTCCTGACTTCTGGTGGGCCCAGAAGGCCTGAAAATCAGCTGGCCGGCGCACACACGCGTGCCGGAGCTGAGCTCGCTTGCCCACTGATATGGCTCCACGTGCCACTTGTGGCACCCGTGCCATAGGTTCGCCATCACGGAGCTAGGTCATTGCTATTGGCACACTAATCGTCTGTTGGTGGTCAGCAGCAAGAAGAAGAGGGTGTTAAAAAATAATCCTCTTTGGTATGCCACTGTGCAGAATGCCCCTTACTTGCTCCTTAACTGGATTTCCTCCTTATTTGTATTTTTTGCTGTGTAAACTGTAACGAAGGTGGATTCTCCGTGGTCCCTTTGTGACAGGGTTAGATTGTAGGGCTAGCATTGATGAGGAGATCTAGGCTTAAATATCCATTCAACCATGAAGTTTACTGGGAGTTCTTAAGACCAGTTACCATCTTTTAGCCTAACCCTTTTTACAGGATTATTGTGAGCATACAGTGGACAGTAGAAATAGAACAATAATAGTAATAATGGAAATGTATGTGAGAAACCAGAATTGTTTAATTTGTTCTTCACATTTTTTGTCACTTAATTCCCAAATGCCTGTGACAGCTTCACAAACTAAAACCAATATAATGGAATACAATATAATACAATACAAAAGGGACAATATATGACAAAGTAAAACAAGATACGGAGAAAAAACATGAAAGGCACTTCAAGTCTTTACTTCAATGACTACTAAAAAGGACCTCCTAAACAATCTGGCTCCAAGCCTTCAAAAATAACTTTTTTAAATATTGTGTAAGGTTGAAGGTTTCCATAGGACAGGCACAGCAGCAGGGAAGGCCTGCTTCCAGGGTCCCAATAGATGGCATTTTGAATAGAATAGAATAGATTTTTTTATTGGCAAATGTGATTGGACACACAAGGAATTTGTCTTGGTGCCTACGCTCTCAGTCTACGTAAAAGAAAAGATACGTTCATCAAGAATCATAAGGTACAACACTTAATGATAGCCATGGGGTACAAATAAGCAATCAGGAAACAATATAAATTGTAAGGATACAAGCAACAAAATTACAGTCATACAGTCATAAGTGGAAGGAGGTGGGAACAATGAGAAATTTAATAGTAGTCCAGACTTAGTAAATAGTTTGACAGTGTTGAGGGAATTATTTGTTTAGCAAAGTGATTGCATTCGGGAAAAAGCTGTTCTGGTGTCTAGTTGTTCTGGTGTGCAGTGCTCTATAGCGCCGTTTTGAGGGTAGGAGTTGAAACAGTTCATGTCCAGGATGCGAGGGGTCTGTAAATATTTTCACAGCCCTCTTTTTGACTCGTGCAGTATAATTGACAGGATACAGAGTACACTAACCCTGTCAGAATAAATAGAATAGGCAGCCACTACAACAGATAGGTAGTCCATGAAATACTTAGGCTGCGTGCCTGGTAGGGCTTTATAGGTGCTATCCAGGATCTTGAAATACACCTGAAATCCAACTAACCAACAGTTCATCTCAATAGCAACAGTAATACATGGGAATAATGAAGAATGCCCATGACTGCTTGCTGAGCTTCACTTTGGATGAGCTGTTAATTTTTTTGATGGCCTTTCTGGTCAACTCCATGTAGAGCATGTTGTGGTAATCCATCTGCAACGTGAGTAAGGTATAAATTGGCCATAAGAAGGGCCATTCCAAGAATGGACCCAACTGGTCCACTAGCTGAACCTATACAAAAACTTTCCAGTTCACAACCATTAATTTGCTCTTTAAGGAGGAGTTCTAAGATCAGAAAGACCCCTTCAACGTGTACGTAGAACTGGTAGGACTAAGCACACAAAACCACTGAGCCTTACTGGGGTTTCATTTGAGCCTGTTCCTCCATATCCAACAGCTTTCAGGGAAAAATAAATAAATCTCAAAAGCATTGGTTGGTTAAAAGTTGAGATATACAGATCGATGATATCTGACCCTTCAAAGGATAATCTCCCCCAACAGTCTCATGTAGAAGTTATGCAAGAGAGTTGAGAGTATTAAGCTTTAGGCATGCCACAGAAAGGTTTAGGACTCAATTTCTACCCCCTTGAACACCAGATTTTAACTTTATCTTTTTAAAGTTATTTCCTAGGAAATCTCGTTTTCCATGTAATATAATTATTACCCAGATTCTGGATTTGTGATTCTTTTAATAAATAAAATCATGTTATGTATCAAATCAGCATGAGTCTCTACAATCTGGTGCTTGTTAGATGTGCTGCTATTAGAGTTTCAAACTTAAGGGGTAGCAGGGGGAATTGTAATTCTGATATGTTTTGCTCCTTATTTTGTTATATGGCATGATCTTGCTTGTGAGAGATTCAGAGTAAACAGACAATTTGTATCATCCCAAAGGGTAGTACTTAAAAATCTGCTTAGATAGTAGCTGCCTTCATAACCTTGGATGTCTCTGTTCAGGTAGTCCTTGACTTACAACAGTTCCATTTAGTGACCATTCAAAGTTACAAGGGCTATGAAAAGGGGTATGACCATTTTTCATCTGTTGCTTACAACTCTTGCAGCATCCCTATGGTCACATGATCAAAATTCAGACGCTTGGCAACTGGTTCATATTTATGAGGGTTGCAGTGTCCCTGTGTCATGTGATCAATTTTTTGCGACCTTCTGACAAGCAAAGTCAATGGGGAATCCAAATTCACTTAACAGCCGTGTTACTCCCTTAACAAATATAATGATTCACTTAACAACTGTGGCAAGAAAAGTCGTAAAATGGGGCAAAGCTCACTTTGCATTTAGCAATATAGATTTTGGGCTCAATTGTCGTAACTGGAGGAGGACTTCCTGTAGAAATTTCTTGAGTCATAAGGAACCAGGAGACCAGCCATAATGTTAAAAGTCAGTAGATTAATATTTTGAAACCGTATACAATGCCTTGTAATGTTGATTGAAAATGTACAGACACATTATGTAAGAAGAACTACTTTTGATGTTCTACACCTTTAAAACGATTGCTTTGGATTTCATATTAACTATAACTTTGATAATTGCCAAGGCTGCTGTTTATCTTTGGCATTACTCATTCACCTTGAAGATATATAGTGCGTTCTTGTACAGAAAGAGAATGGGATTAGTTCAAACTTTTTTCAGGCTTTAGTTCCTTAATGGCTAGTGAAGTTGAAGAATCCATTCCTTTGCTTCTTCTAAAGGTAGGTTTTCTGAACTATGATCTATTTAATGCTAATCAGGTAGGGACCTATATTTTCTATATACTAAAGCAAAGTGCAAAAGCTGTAACATGATTCCTTGCCATTAAAGATGCACCTTTGCACAGACTTTACATTCTAGGCATTGGTGGGTAATCTTGTTTGAGCAGTTTCAAATTGTAGCCTAGAGCATAGTTTTAAGGGTTTGATATAAATGTTCTTATAATGTTTGATATAAATGTTCTTTTTTTCCTATTTATTTTCCTTGTGATAGCATTCTATCTTCTGAGTTATCAGTGTGAAAATAATTTTTCTTATTTATGAAAATTAATTCTGTTATAAAACAATTCCAAATGTTCATTGTAAATAACCTTTGGATCACAGAATTGTTGCATTTTTATTAAACAAGTTTGATAAAGGTTTTCTTAAATTACACACTTATATTGTTCACCAGAGATAGAAATATAGAGTCACAGTTTTGACAGATTTTCTTGTTCGTCTGATCTATGTTTGTTCTTAACCTATGATTTTACTTATTGGGGAATAATAATGTGAAAGTTTTGAAACTTGATGTTGATATACAAACCAGAGCATCATATTTTGGGGACTCTTCAAAATGTTATAAACATATTACCGCCTCTCTTCTTAACTTCCTGTAAGAAAGCACCATATTGGTTTAAACAATCTGCATGCCTGCTGCTTGTAATGAAAATGCAAAGGGTAAAGTACAGGCAGCAGGTCGAAGAACAAGAGCCATAGAAGCACTGTGGGACTAGGAGGAGTGGATAGAATTAAATCTGTTTTTTATAGGATTAAAGAATTTTTTTTTTTTAATTTTTATTTATATGCCACCCTTCTCCGGAGACTCAGGGCGGCTTACAATGTGCTCAGCAATAGCCCTCATCCTTTTGTATATTTATACAAAGTCAGCTTATTGCCCCCACAACCGGGTCCTCAATTTACCTACCTTAGAAAGGATGGAAGGCTGAGTCAACCTTGAGCCTTGGCGAGATTTGAACCTGCAGTAATTGCAGGCAGCTGGTCTTAATAACCAGCTTAATAACAGGGTGCCTTAGACCACTGTACTACCAAGGCTCGTGAGTTTCACCTCTGATTTATCTTCTTTACATTTTAAAACACTGTATGCTGCTTAAGTAGAATGCCATGCTGACAACTCCACAACAAAGAAACTGATTCACAGGAAAATAAATAGCCCACATCTCAAGGTTTTGATGATCATTCCCCTTCTAGGCCATTTCCTGCATCGAAACAGCAGTCTAGCAGCCTTTGGTGCTCCCAGATTGTTGACTTTTAGAATTTAAAACTCAAGAGACACATAAAACATGGAAATATTTACAGATGTGGGATTCTTAATTTCAGAATGTCAACAACGAAAGACGACAACAGGAGAGCGGTGACCGGAGATCTAATAATCCTACTCCAGCAACTAATGGACAGCCGCAGCAAAGGCCTCGACAAGTGGTGGAGCAAGATGAGGAGGAAGAGGAAGAGCTGACGCTGAAATATGGGGCCAAGCATGTGATCATGCTCTTTGTGCCTGTCACATTATGTATGGTAGTTGTGGTTGCGACTATCAAGTCTGTCAGTTTCTATACACGCAAGGATGGGCAGCTGTACGTAACTAACTATTTCCATAATTGCTTTTTCTTGCTGTGATACTCTTTATTTGTTTTCCTCCTCTTTATGTATTCTTTTAACTAATGTTTCAAAATATAGTTATTCTCAGTATATTTGCTATTTTTGGTTTTGTTAGAAATCCCTTTTCCTCTAGTTCCTCAAAAGATACAGTTTTGGAAAAAAAAATTTAACTCCCTCCCTTCCTTCCTTCCTTCCTTCCTTCCTTCCTTCCTTCCTTCCTTCCTTCCTTCCTCCCTCCCTCCCTCCCTTCCTTCCTTCCTTCCTTCCTTCCTTCCTTCCTTCTCATTTCTCCAATTTTAAATAACTCTTCTGCTTCTTTATGTTTCTTTGAACAAATACATGTAATTATGGAATAGCATTGGATATTTTTATTCATAGATAGGATATTGGGTGAATCCTTCCTTCTAAATTTTCTTCTACCAGTGGGAAACTTACATCAATAGAAATAGGGGGTCATCTTTCTCTTGCACTTTACCAGAGTGCAAGACTCCAGAGGCCTTGATTAATCCTTCCTAATAGATGGTGTTTTGTTAACGCCCCTTTTCCCCATTTTCCTGACAAAAGCCTCCTATCAATGGAAGCACAGTTCTTTGATTTCACCCATTGTATTTTCATGTAAAGACAATTTACATCTTTTCCCTTTAAGAATCAAATGTTTTAAAAAGTAAATGGTTCTTACCGTTATTGTTTATTTCTTTAATATTGGAATATCATAGTGGGTCCCTGAACTAAATTAAAATACACCCCATTATCTAAGTTACATTATTTTAGATCTTAGGTGTGGATTAATGGATCTCAAAACAGCAAATTCAGCTGATTCAGTGTAAGTGCTACCTAGTGTATGGTACCACAAAATTTCTTTTTCGTGTACATTAATGGAATGTGAACTGAAATATCTGAGTGGGAAAGGAATCTTGGAGTCAGGATGTGTAGCTCAAGATAACCCATTGCATACGTATTGTAGAAACCACAGAAGTCGTGTTTTGGATTCATTAAAAAGGGAACTGAAAAAGGATGATCAAATAGGGGAAGTGTCAGGTATCATTGATACATAGCTGAGTTGGCTGACATTGGGAAATCCTGAGAGTGGCTGGAAAGGGCTGCATTTAAAGAAAAAAAAACAGCATTGATCATGGCAGCAGAAGAAGAGGAACTAAGCACCAGATCCATAGAAGCAGGAGTAGACGAGATCCGAGGTGCAGACCACGCAGAGGCCTCAGAAACACTCCCAACACATAGTGGCAGGGTGTGAGATGAAGGCAGGAACTGCATACCCTGAAAGGCACAACTTGAGTAGCTGTACACCATGTATAGGAACCTCTGCACAGCGTATGGGCCTTCCAAATCCAGATGGGAGATTCCGCAAAAAGTTGTGAAGAACAACAGGCTTAAAATCCTGTAAGATTTTCAGATCCAGATGGATAAGCAGCCAATCAGACATTGCAGTAGATAAGGACCAGAGGACAGCAGCGGTGATAGATGTAGCAGTCTCAAGTGACAGCAACATCAGGAAGGAGTATGAGGAACTGCAGAAGTACCAGGACCTGAAGGAGGAACTAAAGGGAATATGGAAAGTAAAGATCAAAGTGTTACCAGTGGTAGTAGGAGCATTTGGGGCTGTTACCCCTAAGCTGGGAGAGTGGCTCCAACAGATCCCAGGGAAAACATCAGAGCTCTCTACCCAGAAGAGGGCAGTGCTAGGAACAGCCAAGATACTGTGCAGAACTCTCAAACTCCCAGGCCTTTGGTAGAGGACATGCCATCCATAGGAATGAGGAGGGAGTTTACATATATGTTTATGTCCATGTGCACATAGGTATATGCATAATATGGAATGTAGACAGATGTATGACTTCTTTCATAATATGACATAACATTACCTAGGGAATTTTATTATATTGGGTCAGCTTTGTCTTGATCAGCAGAACGTGTCTTGTGTTTTATGTGACGACAAGGTTTGTCGTACATATTCAGCAGCTTCATATTCTGCTGCTGTGTTTTCGACTTTGTTGGCCGCTTAAAATGAAGTAGCGTTGTGCTTGTAATTCATTTCATAGCCACTAGATGGTGCATGCAAGAAACTTTATGAAATGTTCTATATTTGTTGAATTCTTTTCAGATGAATTTAATCAGAAAATGTATCCTGACTTAAAAGCATGTGACATATTTTGTTTTGCTCTGCGTTGCATTGTAGAATCTATACTCCATTTACAGAAGATACAGAAACTGTTGGACAAAGAGCTCTGAATTCTGTACTCAATGCTGCCATCATGATTAGTGTCATTGTTGTCATGACAGTACTCCTGGTTGTGCTTTATAAATATAGGTGCTATAAGGTGAGCTCAAAATTATTTATAATATTTTCATTCAAACTCCCATTTCCATTTATTTATAATGCTATTCTGGAACTTACGCTATTCCAGTTTGTAAAGGACCAAAACAATTATTAAATCTATGCTTCATCTGAAGATTAACTATGAAACAGCAGAATGGGACAAAAAAAAATAACATACTTTTGTATTTTACAAAAGAAATTTGTAATAATGATCATCAGAAATTGGCAGTTAGATATTTTAAATCTTAATTAAAAATGATTTTGGAAAAGGAGGAGACCCTGAAATAAATTAAAATGACTGTTAACCTGATATTAAAAGGTATTTAAATAACCAAATATTGGCCTATGTTGGGTGACTCCTTTAATTTCACCAGATTTTTGTTCCTCTTTGTTTTGTTAAAAAAAAAAACTTTATTCTGTTACATGATCCACAGATTGATATAAGCAATTCAGGTTTTACTGACAAAAGTAAAACATACTGCAATATAAATTTAGAAAGTTTTTAAATTAGATTTTAACGGGGGAATGGAATCCAGTGCAAGAAATCAGTTAATGTGGACAAATTTGTCAAATGAAGCATGGCAAACCAAATTTGGAAGACCTGCTTTTATACACTATTAAACCAGGGGTGGGTTTCACTTACCTTTGCTATCGCTTCGCTCGCGCACTCGGGCTTCCTTTGCTCATGTGCGGGTCACTTCTGCGCATGCGCAGATCGTATTTGATGACATCCGGGTGGGTGGGCAGAGCCTCCCACCGCCGCTGCTACCAGTTCGCCCAAACTGGGGCGAACCGATAGCAACCCACCACTGTATTAAACAATACTTTTTTCTAAATTTAATTTAGAAAGAATGTATAGGTTGGTTGTGTTATAGAACAATTTAATTTATAGATCATGCAATATATATAACAGGTCTAAATTATCAGAATTATCTGTGAATATTTCTGCACTGAAATTATAGCCATATAATTATCTTCATGTGCATATTGATTAAATGTCAGTACTCTGATAGCAACACTGGATAAAACACCATATTGTGCATTCCAAAGAATAGTGCAGGTTCTGGATTATATATACTTTTCAGATCAGATGCATCTTTAATTCTCAGCATGAAAGTGAAATTAAACAGCAAGCAGTAGTTGCCTGGATCTTAATCTTTCCTGCACAGTCAGATACTAGATGAGTAGACAGCATGATGTACCCATTCCAGATGTACACTTCAGGTAGTCCTCAACTTACAGCAGTTCATTTAGAGACCACTCGAAGTTACAACATTACTGAAAAAAGTAGCTTATGACCATTTTCACACTTTGCAGCATCCCCACAGTCATGCAATCAAAATTCAGACACTTGGCAACTGACTCATATTTATGATGTTTACAGGATCCAAGGGTCCCAGGTGCTCGTGACCTTCAGACAAGCAAAGTCAATGGGGAAATCAGATTCACTTAACAACCATGTTACTAACTTAACTTCAGTGATTCACTTAACAAATGTGGCAAGAAAGGTCATAAAATAGGGCAAAACTCACTTAACAAATGTCTCGCTTAGCAACAGAAAATTTGGGCTCAGTTGTGGTCATAAGTTGAGGAGTACCTGAATATAATTGCATCTCATAATCCTTTAAAGGAGGCTTTAGGATTTTAAAGGACTTTAAAAAGGGGCTTAGGACAGAGAGAGAGATTGTCAGAAATCCTTGGTATCTAGGTGGGACTCTGCATACAGCCCTCAGGATTTCATAAGAAAATACTATATGAAGATGTTCTAAAGTTTCAAATAACCATTTGTCAATCCAACATCAAGTCTGAACATTAAAAACATCTTTTATTTGTGTTTCAGGTGATCCACGGTTGGCTCATTGTTTCTTCTCTCTTTTTGCTTTTCTTTTTCTCATTTATTTACTTAGGGTAAGTATAGAAACATTTTGCTATTTAGATTTGTCAAAATGGGGGGAACAGGTTCAGGTTTTTGAATATTAAGTAAACTTAAATCCTAGCTACTATATTAAGGTTTACATATAAGGATTACATTTAACAATAACAAATGTTTATAATTCAAGAGTTTTGTATAATTCTTAAAAATATGTGACTTTTGGATTTCAAAGAAACAAAGCCATGTATAGATCTTCTATTCTAATATATATATAATTTATATTTGCTGATAAAGAAATAAAGGGAGACTAGTATAGATCTATTTCAAACTTTTTAGCTCTCATCAGCTTGCCAAACCCTTACTCGGATTCGAACTTTGGGCTGCCTGCATATTAACCTCTGAGCCACAAGTTCTCCTTCCTTTATCAGCTGAGCCAAGGGAGAGATGAAATGTTTTTTCTGTCGAAGCACCTAGTCTACCCCAATATGGGAGGGAGCATATTGCTCACACACACATACATACATACTTCTGACAATACAATGAAATTTCATTTCTTTCGGGACAGAGATGTCTATTATTTGTGAAAGTATTTAAATGTTATAATGTTGCATCATTTGTGTAATGAATTCATTACGCAAATAATACAGGTTGATGCAAACAAAATAATTTTGTCATTTGACCTGAGCAGAGCTATGTTTACAAAGTCCATTATATCAAGGTGTACTAAAATTAGGTTTCATTTGTACAATGAAAGCAAAATAATGCTGTAACGATGGTTCTCGCATGGTGGTTTTAGTTTCTGTACTCTAGTATTAGTACAGATGCTTTAGATAGAAAGATCAAGGTTTATGATAATCTTTGAGAGGGAGAAAGAGATCCTATTCACATGTGATAGTTGTATACCGTGTTAAGTTCTGCATAGTTAGTCCATGGCTCATTCCTCAAATACGGTGCATAGCAACAGAATTTTCTCCCCACTTTTCAGTGCAACTGGGCAAGTGAAAGCACAGTACAAGCAAATAACCAGATTAGTTGTTGCCAAAATGATAAATGTGTAGAACATTCCTCCCTCCCCAAAGGGTATGGCTTTTAACCGTTTACAAGCAGCAACCAGAAAAGCAAGAGTTTGAATCTTGATTTCACTCTAAATAAAGACATGCATTTCACATACATGCTAAAAGTCTTTAATGAGGGCTTCATTAACTCTGCTGCAGTACATCTATTTATTAGCTCTTTGGAGTTCTTGAAAGTCTATATTGTAGTTTCTTGACTGGCTGAGAGATAATACAGGTTACCACAACAAATTGCTCTGCTAGTTCTATCAGCATTGGTGAAGAAGCTTAAGTCTTCTGTAAACTTGCCATTTTGGGATAAACTTTACACTCTGTGTAAAAAGATTGTTTTAAAATTACTGTCTAATAAATTGGAAAAAAAATACCTTTAGCAACTGTTAGATTGAATATTAAATTTCTTAAATATGTTAATCTAATTTTGGCTACCATAATAACATTTATATTTACATACTGTATGTCCCCTATTGATTTCTTTTTCTGCAATGCTGTGCAGTCGTTTTATTTTCTGTTGAATCATTTGTATTTCTGGATAACACTATTGATTTGGCATTGAAATAGTTGTTCACATCTTTCTTTATTTTTTTATTTATTAAACTTCCGTGCTGCCCATCTCACCTAGAGTCGGCTCTAGGCAGCTTACAACCAATAAAAGCATCAAAATAAAACATCAAAACAATAAAAATGAACACTAAAATTGACTTAAAACTTAACAAAGATGGCAAGGAGCAAGGTGCTTTATTTGAATATCACAATTTCACACTATATACCATTGTCAAAATCACAAGTACCTCTTAATATTTTGTCTTTGTGTTTCAGGGAAGTTTTTAAGACTTATAATGTTGCCATGGATTACATTACTGTGGCACTCATGATTTGGAACTTCGGGGTGGTCGGAATGATCTGCGTTCACTGGAAAGGCCCCCTCCGTCTTCAACAAGCCTACCTCATTATGATAAGTGCTCTAATGGCCTTGGTGTTTATAAAGTATCTTCCTGAATGGACTGCTTGGCTCATCTTGGCAGTAATCTCGGTGTATGGTAAGATTCCTCTATCCCCATTTTCAGTTTTCAGTAAAAGCCCTTGAAAACCCTTTCAAAAAATTAGCTGGTATTCTTTTTATGTTTGGGATGCCAGATTATTTTAATGATTGGGAAGTTATATTGTAAATCTGGATCACACCTTAAATAAGTTTTGTAGTGGGGGGCTTTCATAATATGGGTGCTTGGTTTCTTTCAATCTTATATAAAGGCTTTCGCTGTAGGAGAGGACAGTTTTTTGACTTCAGATTTCACAAACTCTTGTCACTGGCTGAAACTTACTATCAGTGAGCATTCCTTCATTGCTCTTTGGGATGGCCAAACACGAGAGTAAAACCTGGCCTGTATATATATATATATATATATATATATACTGAAGCAGGTTTAGTTATTCTTTGAAGAATAGGACTGGGATCTTTTCTAACAAAAGTCAGTTGAGTTATGCAGAATGGACCCATGCATTGTCAGTCAAGCCTGAATTTGATTGGGGTGTGGGATTGTTCGTATCATTGAGTATTCTGACATGAATTCAGTTTGATACAGTTTGAAGCTGAAGGAGGATTGAGCCTTCAGTCAAAACATCATTCCTAACCAATGAGTCAACCACATTCTAATGGCTGGTTGACCGGAAGAGGAGGAGAGAAGTCGCCAAGCAACCAGCTCCCATCTTGGTTGGACAATGTGACAGTTTGTTTTGGGAACTTGAGAAACTGAAACTTATATTGGGGTGAAAAGCCCGGGAACTTCAGTACTGGCTTTTCACCAATTAGGCCAAGATGGTGTATCTAAATAAATTTGTCGTTTGAGTGAAAGGAATGCCTCGGAGTTCAATTTGTGATGGATGCATTACTTGGAACCTGACACTGTCAAGTTTAGACATCTGTCACAAATGCTGTTGTATCATCTAGGAACATCTTTTGTCGAAGTGTACTTTCTGCCAAACGTCCCTCAGGTATAGAAGTTTCTGATAACTTTTCAGTGCTGATGCAAAATGTGTCTAGGAAATCTGTCTGCTGACTGAATTACTGCCATTAGAGATGGGACTTGTTATGTCACTTGCAATTTTATAGCGATGTGGAAACAAAGTGTGCTTTATTATATACCATGTTTTTGAGCACATGCTCCCTTTTACCACATTATGTGCTAATGTTCTTTCTAGAAAGAATTTATCAACTACAGCAGAATCCTGGCTTCCTTATTTTAATAAGGAAGGCACATTTGTTCTGCGTATAAAAAATATCTAGTATTAAAGATGAGAGTTATCTAGTGTCTCCCTCTTATATTTGGTCATTAGCTGAAAATTCCTCTTTCCTTCCCTCTCACAACTTTCAGCCTCCCACCTTGGCACGCAGCTCCTTGCTCCTTTTCTCTCAGACTTTCTCTACAGTCTTTTTCAGGATAAAATTATTAGCCACGCATCATCTTCAAAAGCCACATACTGTTATTTGGGAGCTTTTGGGGTTCCCATATGCATTTGGCTGAACAGTGTGGGAAATTAGCTTGCTCTTATTCTGAAAAAAAAAAGTCCTCTCAACTTTGATTTTGATGGAAATTGAGGTAACTGCTGCAATACTGGACTGTAAAAGGAAATATATTTAGAACATCAAAATACTCAAATAAGCAAAATATAGTATAATGAGGTGTGCATTTAGAATTAAAGATTGCAACCCAATTTGTTAGATTAAACAAAAATCCTTTTAATGTGTATATTCATTGTTTTCCTGTTTACCAGCATGATAGTATTTTTTAAAAAAAGGAAAATATTGCTTATACGCTTTTATGTTTTAAATTTTGTAAGTACCAAAGACTTTTCACAGTGTAAAACAGCTCTACTTTTTGAAGTCTTCTTTTTCTTTCATACACACACACAAACAAACATACAGTTTGATTTTCAAGTGGGAACAAGCAGTTTGGCAGCATTTTAAGATATGCAGACAAACAAGTTTGAAATACCATATACTTTTTCCCAAGTTGTAAGGAATCCAAATGAACTTGCAAAAACATTCTTCTTCTGTTTAAGTTCAGAAACAAAGGATAGCCCCAAAAATACAGCTGTCACGTGCCATCAAATTACAGTGATTTAAAATACTATATTGTCTTAAAATTCCTTACCATTATACAAGTGTAGTTCTTATATATATTGTAAGTTTAGTAACTTTACTGACTGTTAACTTCTATAGTTAGAACAATTACAAACTGACTCTATGTAAACCTTAAAGAAAAAAAATGTGTTTGGCAAGAGAGGTGTTTTTCCAATCAGGAGAAACCCAGGAATTTCAAACTATTGAATTTTTCCTGGGTACGAAAATGAAGTAATGACATTTAATAGGTGTCTGTGCCTCATAACATGATATGTAGGTGGGTACTGTTTCTTTGAAATAAAATAAAATGCTGTTTTATTCACTGGTATTTGACCTAAACCTAAGGCCTGTCTAAATGTTCATGTGAGTTTTCAAATCTTAAAAAAAACTGCTGCAGTATTGGGTGAGGCAGGGCAGGAATGGATTCAACCTGAGAGGCCCCAGTGAAATGGAGAATTGCCATGAGTTATCTAACTTCCTTATAGATCCTTGCCATAAGATGCCAGGGATATCTGAGCACCTTGTCTCCATAGAGTTTGGTGGATGACAGTTGAATTGGAAAATTGCTTTAACAAATAAGTAATTTCTGCTATTTTTTCAGGCAAGGAAAGCTTGCTTTTTTTATAATGAGACTATACAAATGTGATGGCTACAGTTTGGTTTAAAATCTGGAGGGGGACCAATCCCTGCACATACTTAATTTTTTAAAAAAAGAAAATCTGTTGTATAGGAAAAATTATCCTTCCCAAAAAGGAATGATAGATGTTTGCTGCTGTTTAGTTATGTCCTTGAATGACAGCAAGTAGTATATTAGGTTACAAGTTGGTATGTTTATAATGTACATAGATGAGATATAGAGATTGAGGACGATCTCATTCAGATTAGAGTAGGTGGTTTGTTTCATAAAGTCATACCTAATGCATCCCAAAATATTACATGGCTGTATGAATGTTGATCCAGAAGGCATATAGGGGGGATGGTATGTAATCAGAAACTGCTTTCCTCTATGTTCAATTGTTAGACGCCTCTGGTAGACCAAAAAAACTTACGCCATGAGAAGGATATTAGATATCATGCTTTAATTATAAAAGTAAATACGGAATTCAGGCTGTTTTCTTCTATATCCTTTATTTTCTTCTCTGAATGTCACTGCGCTAAGTCTCCTTCCAATTTTTGAAATATCTCGTTTCATTGCCCCCCCCTCCCCCCCCACACACACTGGTTTGGTTTCGATTCTTATGCCGGTAGCACAGTAGCAATCAATTCAGATTAAGAGTAATAATGTCAGTGTTTATTATAGCATGTGTTTTAATTATTAACTTTCTAAAATGATTTTTTAATTATTAACGATTCTAAAAATGTGGGGCATATCACAGTATGGGCCATTAAATACCGTATTTCCCCGAAAATAAGACCCTGTCTTATATTTTTTTGAACCCTGAAATAAGCGCTTGGCTTATTGCCATGCGCTCAAAAGCCCGATTGGGCTTATTATCAGGGGATGTCTTAATTTGGGGAAAACAGGGTAGATTGAACCAAACAGTATTTTTCTGTTACAGTCTTTTATCAGTATACAAAATATTGTATGGAAGTCCCATGAAGCAGTCTAATTTATTACATTCATATGACTAAGTATTTCTTTCTGACCACGGAAGAGCCATTTTTCCAGTTGTTTAAAATGATCTCAATATCTATTTTTCAGATCTGATTGCAGTATTGTCTCCCAAAGGGCCTCTACGTATGCTAGTAGAAACAGCTCAAGAAAGAAATGAAACTTTGTTCCCAGCACTCATTTATTCATGTAAGAACGGATTATCTGATGCCTGCTTTGAACTGAGGGGAAACAATTCATCTAACTTTCTATTAAGATATGAAATGTTAGATGCTGCGAGTCACAGTTCCATTTCATAAGAAGACAGGTCTTTGTTGTGTGCTCAAAAGTTTAAAACCTGGCCTGAATAAGATGCTCCAGTTAGTAGCTTTCCTTCGACTACAGAAGCAAAAATGAGATACAGCAAAAATCTAATGTTTTAAGTATAACAAACACGTTTTCCCATTATGGTGACTTTCCAATTAAGTAGAAGTTAAGCAATATACTGTACTTTTAAAGGTTTACTATTAAAAAAGGGGAAAAAAATCATCCTACTTGATCCAAAATAGTTTGGCTATTTCAGGGATTTTGATTGGTTTTATGGTACAATGTATCAACTGATCCTTCGGTACAGTTTTTTACTGAAATGAGGCCATGATAGAACTACAAGATTAAAGAAGAGTACCTGTTTAGCAGGGTGCACATTTCAAAAAATATCTTTTTCTAGGGTATAATATCTGTTGGGTCTACTGTCATTTAATTATGCATTTATGCTAATAAAATTTTAAAAATACTGTTTTACAAAGGTATAATGCAATGTTTATTTTTCAGGTGGTATGTATTATTTGTTACAGTGGTACCTCAGTATTCATCATTAATTGGTTCCGGGTGGCATGATGAGTACCTAAAACAATGAGTACCAAACAATTTTTTCCCATAAGGAATAATGTAATGAGTCACAAGACAGCCAACACTGAATTCTAGCTTGTGAATTGAGTACCAAACAAACGATAAGTGCTGGGACAAAATTTTCATGTCAAGATGCGTTGAGCACCAAATTTGATGAGTTTCAAAGCAGCCGAGTACCAAGGTACCATTGTATTAAGATTGTCTTTCGATAACAATGGGCCCAAAGCACAAATAGAAAAAAGAAGCTTTGGTATTGTCTTTCATTTTAATAACATCTTAGATGAATTCATTGCAAGGGTCACTGCAGTTTTCTGTGGGTACAACACAACAGAACGTTGGTAAATACTTAAAATGTATATATAATCATAATGTGATTAAATAACATATAACAGCAATAAATTAGGTCTTCTTTTTTCCATTAGCAACAATGATATGGCTAGTAAATATGGCTGAACAAGATCCTGAAGCCCAGAAGGGAGCTTCTAAAAATGCCACTTACAATCAGCAAGGTGAGGTGTTTTTTTAAAAAAATCTTTGTAAAGTCGTGTGAGAAATGGAGAATAAGACTTGCCAAGCAGTTTCATGTTAACCTTCTTATATTTACAGAAGGGCTTTACTATTTAAATACTGAATTTGTGTCCATCAATGAAGCATAAGCAGTGCACACTGATTTGAATCCCTCTGCCAGAAAAATGGTTTCCTTATCATTTGTCTTGAGATAGTTTTACTTCCACTCACCTCCAGGAATCCTTGTAACAAATGAGGGGAGGGAATTCTGCAAGTATTGGCTTGGGTCTTTTTTTTTTCTAGTAAGGATGTTGTTTTAACAACACAGCTTCTACTTTTAGACCTCAATTGCTTTTTAAACAGAAATCTACAGAGACGACTTCCATTTACTAACAATAGCACTTAGACTTAGATACCACTTCACAGTGCTTTACAGCCCTCTCTAAGGGGTTTACAGAGTCAGCATATTGACCCTAATAACCTGGGTCCTCATTTTACCAACCTCGGAAGGATGGAAGGCTGAGTCAACCTTGAGCCAGTGAGAATCGAATAACAAATAAATCATAAAAATAAGTAAAATTTAGAAAAGTCATCTTTTACAAATCTTGAAGAATGGGGAGAAAAATCTACTTCTCTCCTCTACTACACATTATGAAATATCTTTAACTGAATACACTTCTAACTAAGTAGCAAACACAAAAGAAAAATATGGATTTGTTCTAAGATAATGTCTGGCCAGGTAGAAGATGCAAAACACTTTATAGATGGTACTGGGTTACGATGGTAAATTGGGACTGGAAGTTCTCTTGCTAACTCATAGAGCACAATGCCATGTGACCACACCAATTTACGACGGCAGCTCTGGCAGTTCCAGTTGTAGTCATTAGGTGAATTCTGCATAGTTGTTAAGCATAGCATCATATGATTGCCATTTATGACCACCTGCCAGCTTTCCCATTGACCTTGCTTGTTGGAATCAGGCCGTGAAGGTCTCAAATAGGGACTACATGACCATGGGATGCTGCCACAATTATAATTGCAAGCCTTTTGCCAAGTGCCTGAATCCCAATCATGTGACCATGGAGACACTACAATGGACTCAACTGCAAGTACTGGTCTTTGGTGTCCTCATTAGTGCCATTATAACTTTGAACAATTGCTAAATAAATCATCATTAACCTGTTCAGCATTTTTTCCTTGTTTCCTGGCTAAAGAAATTTCTTTACCTATTTAGATTATTGCCAACTAACAGCTACCATATTGTCCATACCATATTGTCTCTCCAGTTTTTCTTTCCTTCCATGTAGATCTTACTTGAAAACAAATGAGTCTGTGGGAATAGAACTAACAGTTTGTGATATCTTCAGCTTTCTGATAACCAGAATTATTGGGTTTTATAACAATAGAAACCGATAGACCTCAGATATTGGACCTCAGTTCCATCATTGTCAACTAACATAGTCCTTGGTCAGAGATGATGGAAAATGTCCAAAATTTGGAGGGCCCTAATTTCTGAGCTAGTAAAATGAAACTGTGTTTGAGTTGGGCACCCACATATATTTGTTTAATAAATAAATTTAAAAAGTCAGAGGTTTTAGATTTCAAGAGAAACAGAAGGGAAGATTTTAGTGAGACTGAAGGAAATCCCTTATGAATAAATGTAAGTGCTTTTTCCTTGACTCATGATGATTGCCTAGGCCCTAAGCAAATCCATGCAGTTTTCCTGGCAAGATTTTCAGAAATGGTTTGCCATTGCCTGATTCTTGGGACTGAAAGAGAGTTTCTGGCCCAAACTCGCCCACTTGGTTTTGTGCCTAAATCAGGTCTTTTAACTCATAGTTTCCTGCTTTCTGGGCGGGTGCCTTAAATCAATATACCAAATTGGCTTTCAGATATGTTCTTAAATTTATTCCGTGTTAAATTGAAAATGGTACATTTTTCTAGATTTTCTAATTTGTGCATGTACACTGGAAAGTATTGTTCTATTATATTAAAGGCTACTTTTATTTCCACAGAATTGAGCATAAAATTGAAGTACAAATTTGAAGAGCATCTTATTTTTTTTAAGAAAGCAAAATAATCAGTTCCATGAGTATACATGTTTATTCCTGAGAGCTCTTTTATTGCTCTTGCAAGTTTCCCAGCACATAGAACTATTTCTAATTTAGAAAGCCATATGGACCTAGCTAGAAATAATAGGGACTAGTGGGAATAATAATATTCTATATTTGCCTCCAAAGCAGAGATCTTAAATACATACCATCAGACTATTTTACTGCTCCTAAAGTTCTAGTTGTGATTGTTTCCTTGTTAGGCAATTAGCTCACTTGAGTTCTATCAGATTGCTTTTCAGTATCAGAATAGGATCAAATGTCAGGCAGAATGAGTAGGCTATCCTCAGGCATCCACTCTTAAAAGGCTAGCAGTTTGATATCTGTTTATTTAATTGATTGTGATATTTTCACTGCCAGGCAAGAAAACAATGTACATGTAGCATTTTCAATAAATAGACCGTCATTGTGTTCTTAGCATATATGTTGGTTGAAGCCAATGGAAATTATAATCCCAACATAACTGGAGCACCATGGGCAATTTGCTGCTGTATAGCTTAACTTGCAGGGGTGTGGGGAATAGTATTTGCTTTTTTAGCTGAGGTAACATAATGCCTTTGGATGGTGCTAGATGCTTATAATGTATGTCACTGTCCAGTTTTACTTCATTTGCTAAAACTGATTTGCAACCATCTTCTTTTCAAATCTATTTGCACTGAAGATCACTATTACTCTATACCTGTGAAAAATTAAGTACAGGTAGTCTTTGACTTACAACAGTTCGTTCAGTGACCATTCAAAGTTACAACGGCACTGAAAAATGTGACTTATGACCATTTTTTCACACTTTCGACTGTTGCGGCATCCCCATGGTCACATGATCAAAATTCAGACACTTGGCAACTGACTCGTATTTAGGATGGTTGCAGTGCCCTCAGGTCATGTGATCACCTTTTGCGAGCTTCTGACCAGCCAAGTCAATGGCCAGATTCACTTAACAGCCATGTTACTAAATTAACAACCGAAGTGATTCACTTAACAAATTTGGCAAGAAAGATCGTAAAATGGGGCAAAATTCACTTAACAAATGTCTCACTTGGCAGCAGAAATTTTGGGACTCAATTGTGGTCATAAATCAAGGATTACCTGTATATTCAAACTTTAGGATTTGGATGCACCCTAACTTATTTTTCATTTGTGTAGTACTTCGTTTTTGTTAGGACAGTGGCAACTTTTTTTCCCCTATCAACTATCATATAATCTAATGATGTATTTGGATGATGATCACAAGAGCGTAGTAGAAATGCCTGTGTATTTCAGTTACAGTGAATCAAAACCAGAATGCAGGTCCTGAGGTAGATGATGGAGGTTTCAACCCAGAATGGGAGCAGCAACGAGACAGCAGGATTGGGCCAATGCAGTCAACCCGTGAAACACGAGCAGCAGTTCAGGCTCTTCCCGCTAATTCCCTAGCAAGTGAGGATCCAGAAGAGAGTAAGTAACATGTATAAATAAATATAATTCAGTTTTCCAGGCAACACAGAAACTTACTGTTGATTTAGGGTTGACAACCTTTTAGTTGCTAAAATACATTACTTAATACTTTTGGGGTTACGTGGGCTGCAAAGTGCATGAGGCCATGTCCCACATGTAGGCAGAGGTTGGATGTTTTTAGGTAGTTTTGAAGAGATTGCTTTTTCTTTGAAAACGCCTGTCTTTGAACTTAAGCTACAATTTTCAAGTTTCCCATGTCAGAATTGGAGTAAACTGTATTCTCAGTAATCACAGAGAAAGAGAGAGAGAGACTCAAGGGTTTTAGAAGGGAAATTTGGGCCACAGGTTACCTGTCTCATCTTTAAAATGCAATTTTCTGGCCAAATTCTGATAATTATAGAAGCAGCAGCAGCTGTTATTTTTAGCCCTCTTGCTATGTTATGTTCCCAAAAGTCCTTATTTAAGTCACTCTTAAAGTGAATTGAAAACTTCTCTTGATGAATGATAGCATAGCAAGCATTTCTTGTAAATTTGCTTTATGGAATTCAGCCAACGTTACATGAGTGAATTTCTTGGGAACCTGTTTGAGCAGGTTTGTGTGGATGCCTGAAGATTTCAGGGAAATAAGAAATTTAGATGTCTTGGGCTTTCTGTTCTGCTGGTGTAAAGAAATCAAGAAATGCAAACCAAACTATTTAAATGTCCTGCTCAAGGAATGAGAATAAAGCAAAAATGCTTCATTTACTCATACAGCCACAAAAAGAGAGTGCTCTTTAGTCCCACTTGTGAGTAATCCATCTGATTAGTTTCTCCTGGAAACCATGTCAAACCTTGGAGTAAATGTCACTCTCCCCATTGATATAAAAGCTGACCTCTGTAATACTGTTTGTAACAATATATAGTCTAATAGAAAGTGTGGGTTTATTCGTTAATCAAAAACTGTTGTGAATGCAGAATGATCTGTGTAATGATTTTCAAACTGACAGAAAATATGTTAATTTTAATGATCCCTTGCAACTTTATAGCCAGAATTCCTCTTAATAATGAGGTATTTTGGTAGAAGTAACATAAGCTGCATTTTGGCAAGCTAAACAGATCTCTGCCATCGTGTTCCCAAGAGGACTGCTGTTGCTTTACCTCAGTTCCTTTTAATCACTGATGAAGCTATTTAGATTTTTTTTTCTGTCCTTCTCGTAAAGCTTATGCTAAGTTTTAATTTTATGAAATTCATTGCTGTGGTCCTTTGAAAAAGAACAGATTGCTAGTTCATATTTTCTGCATCATAATTATATCTATTTTTGGTTCATTTGTTCATATCTTTGTTCTGCCAGAGATGCTTATGACCTTGAAAAAGTTGTTGGGAAATGCGTTCCATGCAACCTTCAATTTCCCTTTTCAGATGGATACACTTTGTACAAAGGATGTGCAAACTACTCTATGCCCAAACCGTAATAAAAATCCAAGATTGAACATATCCCTTTTCAGAACGTATGTAGATAATAGGTGGTGACAGGGAATGGAGCAAAGGAAAGAGAGGCTTTAGGGAAATCCAAGTGCCAGACAACACTAGTAAGATATGCTGCCCTGGGATACCAGCAGTGGGAGGAAGGTTGGGAATATCTGGGTAAATGGGGTGATGGAATTTGCCATGCTGTAATCATGTCCTTATTGATTAGGCTTTTGTGAAGGACAAGGGACATAAACCAGTACATTTGGCAATGGTAACAAATCAAAGGAGATTCAATACTGAATGTATTGAATCCTTGACCAGATGAAATCTGGTGTCAGTCTTAAAATGAGAGTTTCCTCTTTGGAAGACACTTAAGTTCTATAGCAAATAAGCTTTACATAGAATAGATGCTATCAATGTAGAAGGCAGGTATCCTATCTTGGCTGACAGTGATCTTCCAAGCAATTGTCATCAGAGACCTTTGCTCCAGTATTCATTCTGGCATTAACTACATTACTATATGTACCAAGAAAATGTGCCAATAAACTGTTTCTGTGACATCTATATTCTAGACTGAGATTCTCAAACAGCTATAGTATTTCTATGTATAAATACTATACATAGTATTTGTTTTTTGTTTTTTGTTATTGGAAATCTAAATCTTAATTTCAGCATTCTGGTGAGAGCTCAAGAAGATAGCTCATAGGAAACCTGTCTGTACCAGTTGTCTTAAGGGCAATAACAACTTCTCAGTACGGAATATATTCAATGAGTATCATTCTGAGAAGAGGTGGCTCAGTTTAGTTCTAGTAAATATCAGACAACTAGAATTGCAGTAGATCTGGTAGCTTTTTTAAAAAAGTTTTTTATTAATAATACAAATTAAAAACATTGGACATGGTTTGACCTCTCCGGTTTAGACATTTTCATCAAGTTTTACCTTGCAACAGATACACTTCCTTATCGCTATACAAGTTTATACTATTTATCACATTTCAAACATGTAAGTGCTTTCATCTGTGAAGGTTACATCGATACCACGTTCATTCCTATTTATCACAGAAAACTAAGATAGAAATTTCTAAACATTCAACTCATCAATAATCCTTTGTCCTGAAGAAGTATTAGCTAAAATATTAACTTGTACGGAAATAAACAGATTGACCCTGGAACTCAAGGATAAGAGCGAAACAGAGTATTATGAAATTTGGAACAAATTTTATTATTGGATGGAGAGGAGGAGGAATGCCAGGATCTGGTAGCTTTTTGTTGTCATGCACGGCTTCACTTTTCAAAATTAGTTGAGAAGGTGATAATTTTTTCCGTGTAAAGATAGGTCATGATGCATATTGCCTAGTTTACTCAAGATTTCATCTTTAGAACTGTGGCACTCCTTTTCTGCAATCTTCCTTGTATAGTTTAGTTCTGTCAGAGGCAATGGCGACAGTACTTTTGCTCTGGTCAGTCTTTTCCGGTTCTGATGGCATAATTCCAATGACACCAGTGCACCTCTTGCTTTCACAGGAGGGCCAGAGACCATCTTTGGCATTATTGTGATCATTACACACTTGGGCTGATGGCTTTTCATTTCCACACTCATCTACAGTTTTTCCTTCCACCTTGGAGGTGATTATTATGCACGAGTAAATTTTCATAATAAATCAAGGATGTACCTTAGAATTCCAAACATTATAATAGCACTTAAGAATTTAGGATGAAAATCAAGATCCCTTCTGTTTTATGCAAATCGAGAGTTTACTTCTAAGTGCTGCCAAGCTGTTCATTATCGTACAAATAAGGGCAATAGATCAGTTGGTAACCTGTAAACATAGGTTTAATTATAAAAATGCTCTGTCAGTCGAAACATATATCTTAAAACATAATAAGAATTTGGTAGGAGACATTGAGGCAGGTATATGCTCTTACACATGACGATCTATTATTTTGAGGACAGAGTGCAGTTTACCCATTTTTTTCTCTCTCTATGCAGAAAAACAGAAGTTGTTTTTCATTATAAAGTTGTAATAAATAAAAAAACACTCTGAAACGGCTTTGCATGCCATTTCATTGGCTTTAACAAAGACTAATTTCCTTGATAATAGCATCGAAAGGGCAAAAGAATTAAGAGGAATCTTGTAGGCAGGATTTAGAAGCATATTAGGTGTTTTGTGTAATAAAGAGGAAAAGCAATAATAGCAGGATTTGTCCAATATAGTTGCATTCTCTGCTTCTGAGCAACAGCAGGGAAGGGAGAGGTTGCAGTCCCTGGACTGTTTTTGCATTTGGGTTCAATGATTATCAACAGCGTGCTGGAGCCAGCTCATGATGGGTGGTGAGAACCAATTGTTAAATTTTCAGGAATTTTGGATGCTGGTTGAAGCAAACCTGAGCTATGATGCCTGTTGTGCAAATCAGCTATTCTGTGACTAGTGATATGGAGGTGACACTGGAGCTGCAGAGCCAGTTCTTAAACAGTTATTGGCGCACAACTGGTTAGCATCGTATTTTAAAATATCATTCCTAGTCAGTTGTCCTCAACAGACAATTGAATCTCAGCTTCTTAAGGCAAAATATGAAAATAAGCGTTTTGCCAACAGTGTGCCTTGCTTCTTCCTTCACAGAATGAGCCAATAAATCAGGAACCTTCTGTTTAACTATAGCCTCTTAACTAATTCATACTGAAACTTAACCGTAGCTTGAATTCAATTTAACTTTATTTTCCAGACAAAACAAAACTATATGCTCAACTGAAAGCTTTCTATTTTGTTTGTGCTATGGAGACAGCAAAGGGGTTTCATAGTCAAAAGGTTTATTTATATCTTAGTTTACTTTCCAGCTTATTTTTCTTCATTAATCTATTTGAAATTTGGAAGCTAAAAATATTTCTCGAGGTTTGTTCAGATGCAGACATGCAGAGAACATCTCTAATTGAGCTGACAGCAACAAAAAAAATAGTACCACACTTTTAAATGTTCCATTTCTTCTTGGTCTTAATAAATGCACTGTGACTAAACATGAGTTGCTGCATACAATGGTTTTAATTTCTATTCGACGTGTTTTTTTTTTCCCTTTGGCAGGAGGAGTTAAGCTTGGCTTAGGAGATTTCATTTTCTACAGTGTTCTAGTTGGCAAAGCTTCAGCAACAGCCAGTGGAGACTGGAACACAACTTTAGCCTGTTTTGTAGCCATTTTAATTGTAAGTATATTTCCCCTTCCCTTTCTTGTTTGATGCCATAACTAGTTAAATTAGGTAATAATGCTCTTCTTTAGGAATTGTTTAAACGTATCAACTGGACAATTTCAGAGTTTTTTTCTTGCAGGTTTTTCTTTCTGTTTTTTTTTTAATGAATTATACAGTATTTGCAGTCTGATAATTCCTCTCATCCCTCTGAAACTTGATAGATGGATGTTAGTTTCTGTATTTTATCTCCACTTTCACAAGAAAAAGGAAAGTAAACTCCTTGTCAGTTCTGACTAGAAAAATACCATTCTCTAATAAGAGGTTGTAGAAAAAAGTTCAGCTTCTCCGAGAAGCATCCATCTAGAGAGATTGCTAGTTGCTGGATTGGAATGATGCCCAGACTTGAAAGTGAAAATCGGAACTCTAACTCAGAGAAGGAGGGGTGAGAGAAAGGAAGTTTTCCTCTCTTCCTCTTTTAAAAAAGCAAAGTCACTGGAACAGACCTATGTGCAATCCCTTCAGGGTGATCATCGTAAATGACCTCCTAGTGAGGCAGAATTGTGGAACCTGAAACAATGTACCTGATGCTCAGAGTTGGTCATAAACTTTTTAATATTATCAGGTGCTTCTGTCAGGAATTTCTTGAAACACATTAAGCAGTCATAAATTTGAACAGATTTTTGTGGGTGTCTTTCTTACTATTCTGACTTGAGATAATGGTGTTTTCCTAATAAAAGAAGCCATAAAAAAAAAACCCTAGACACATCAGTGGTGTAGGATATGTAGGTTCCAAGGGAAAGGCACAAGAGTTCCAATTGCAGACACCATTTGCTTAAGAGGACGGACACTGGTATCCTGCGCATTTGGAATTGCCAAATTATTTTCAATAAAAATAGAATTTCATAGAAGGAGCCTAATATTCTGCCAGGACTGTCCGAAATTACTAAAACTCTTGCTTCTATGATAAACTATTCTACTGTTAATGAAAATGTGGTTACTAGTTGTCTGTTTATAGCAGAAATGTCTACATATGGGGTGGTAAAAGAAGTCAGAATTGTAGGTATGATTTAAACCCTCTGTCTTTTTAACATGAGTTGTATACATCAGTGGTGGGTTTCAGCAGGTTCTGACCAGTTCTGGAGAGCCAGTAGTGGAAATTTTGAGTAGTTCGGAGAACCGGTAGTAAAAATTCTGACTGGCCTCACCCACATCTATTCTCTGCCTCCCGAGACCCAGCTGATTGGGAGGAAATGGGGATTTCTCAGTATCCTTCCCCTGCCACGCCCACCAAGCCATGCCACGCCCACCAAGCCACACCCACGGAACCGGTAGTAAAAAATTTTGAAACCCTCCACTGGTATCCATCATACCCACAGCTGTGCCTGCCATCTTGACATACATGCAGATGACCCCTGGCTTACAGTATGATAGAAACTAACCATCCATTTTTATAAATGCCTGATGTTTAGAGAAGAGAATCTTTTTCCCCCATTATCATGGAATTTGTTATAACGAATTTGGGCATCTCTGTCTTGTTGCTTCAAAAAAAAAAGTTTTCTACTCACTAAAGACTCCTGTCTCTCCAAATCCCTTGGATTTGGCTCTGCTATTCAGCACAGTGACAGAGGTGACAGAATGGGAATACGGTTAAAAAATCTGTCCCATTGCAATTTTCCGTGACAATTTATCCATTTTGATTTTCTCACCTAGTTTATGAACAATCCCTTGTTGGCAGGATTATTTTATCTCTGAAGGACATCCTGGGTAGATTGTTGTCTCTGGAAGCAGGCAACTGTCTAATACTTTGAGATATGAGTTCTTCCATACTGTATAACTTATGTGTGTGTTCTCTCTCTCTCTCTCTTTTTATTCCTAGGGCTTGTGCCTTACCCTCTTGCTACTTGCCATTTTTAAAAAGGCCTTACCAGCTCTTCCAATTTCTATCACATTTGGGCTAGTTTTCTATTTTGCCACAGACAACTTGGTGCAGCCTTTTATGGACGAATTAGCTTCCCATCAGTTTTATATCTAGCACCTTTTCAGCTGACCACCTGCGGACATTTTATTGAATTTAGCAAATAAAGGAGGGAGAAACTAACTTCCCCTCATTTCCTAAAACAGCTGCTAAGCTGGGCATTACTGGATTCTTCTTTGTAAAAATGGTCTCTTCAACCGGTGGGTTTTCTGCCATTTGACTGCAGTCAGTTGCATCTCTTTCAAAGGACAGTCTGTAGAAAAGATGCCATTGTTCTCACCAGCAGCACGGATTGCTCAGCCTGGGGTTCCACCTTGCACCAACCAAGAATGCTGAGGATTCATCCACTGTTAAGCGGTATGATGATAAATCAAGCAGAACTGCCTGAGAAGTGAGGGTGACACCATAACAGAAAACTATCAGCTCTTGTTAGCCTGAGGCCACTCGGAGAAGAGCAATTGGGAGGAAAGAATGTTATCTTGTTTAAAGGGGGGAAAAAATCAAGCAAATAATGTCTTGCACTTTGTGTTAGTTTTTTTCTTTCTTTCCAATTTAATTGTCATACTTGCGGAACAGCCTATATGCTCCTTGCCAGATCAGCACAGAACACACACATAGATTCTTTTGCCAAATTTTTTTTTGGGCGGGGGGGAAATTGGGGGGTAAGGTAGGCATATCCTGGGATCCTTTGTGTAAAAACAAAATCTCATTTCTTATTAAGCTATGTAATCTATTCCTAGAAATCTCCCCTTTCTTAAAGTATGCTGAATATCTTTTCAGCTTTCAAGTGAGTTTTATAATTTATACCAACGAAGAGGTGAGAAACTAAAAACTATCAAACCACAGAACATTGCAATGAAATCTTGGTTTTTAAAAACAAAAAAAAACCTGATTTCATTTTTTGTTCTGAAACTTTTTAAATAAATCCTTGGGACCATTTTATTTTTTAAAAATGTATATACGCATGCATGTTGCAATATAAAATTAAAAAGAACGATACGTACTATTAACTGTCTCCCAGGCCGCAATGAAGCCAGCCATCTGCATGAAAAGTACATCTCAACTGAACATACATATGGCATTGTCAAATAGGTCCTATAATTATAACATAGTTATATTTCATTCAGAAAAATTGTGGGATGGGGGAGGTGGCACAGGAAGAGTAACTTAATTTTACTGTACAATACATGTGTTCCTTGTTCAAAATATCATTCCAGAAATTTCCTAATGGGGATTTCTGTTGACGTCCTCCTTCACTCAAACAGACACACACACAAAAAAACCCATCACCAATCAGGTGCTTCCCTTGAAACCCCATCGCATATATTGCCTTTCCTTATTCAACACATGTTGAGAATGTCATCTTTTAGGCTTCAGAGGAAATTGGAGCAGTTCTATATACCTGCCTAGCTTGTCCTAAAGCACCAAATAGCATCCAGCTACCTATTACATTCAGTCAATAAAATGAATAAAAATAAAAGAATAAAAGTTATCTGTTCGTGTACACCCACACATAATGTTATGTTACTATTTTGCTTGTACTGATACTTACTTGAGCATCTTTCTTTGGTTTAAGAAGCTGGGATTGTAAATATGAGACTACCAAAGAAGACTGTCAAAGTCTGGTACTACTGCTAAGCTCATCTGAGCACTATTATTGGCATTGCAAGTCTGCAGTGCAACTGCTGATAGTTTTATTGCAGAGATCGTTTGAGCCTGATCATCATACAGGTTGCTTGTTATCCACTCATCTAACACTTCAGTAAGCTATTACAGAAGTCCACATAAGCTTTCCATGAATTTCAAAGAGCTTTTGAAAACATATTTATAATAAAAGTAGGAATCTCCACTTATTGAGCCATTTTTCGGTCCTAATTCTGAAGGTGTGAAACTGGCCATTTCCCCAACATAATGTCGTCCTTGCATTGTGGGATTTTTAGAATATTGCCTGGGAGTTTTACTAACTGTATTTCCAACACTTTTGGAAGGCATCAGGTAGATTCAGGCATCCGTGGATTTCAACAACAGCATAGACTGCAAACACAGCTCCTGTGATAGAATGTTTCTTTGTGCAAACTGTTCTTTATATTTAGTAAAGTAATAATTTGGGGCAGAATTGCCTCTTCTGGGCATATTCATTTCAGTGAATTTCGTGTTCTGCCATACAGGTCAAAACACGTCATGTCAAATTTTGCAGATGTGAGCTCACTATCTCTTTGAGAACTGAATCATTGTCATACAGAACCTAAAATATGAAGGTGTGTCTGCTTTACCCAAAATTACAAGGGCCAGTGGATCTTAACGAACATAATCAACCCTAATATTAAATAACACCAAGTATTCCCTGTGGGTTTTGAGTACACATCTAAGAAATGCAAACAGGTTCAGAAAAAATGCATGCTTGTTGCAAGATGTTAAACTAGACTCAAAAAGCAATCACTTTGGACATTTAGCAAGTATCAACTTGGTTACAAATAATTATGACTCAATTTTAAGCTTCCTGGAAATCAGTTTAACTCTAGGTGGCAATAGTTCGGACACATTTAGACATCAATACCTTCTGAAAAGCCACTTTATGTAGATACTGTGTTGATCAGGCCCATAAGAGTTGCCTTAAGAATCCCTTAAAGAGGATAACTTCTGTTACCATCAAATTATTTCTGATGGTTATGGGACTATTTAACAGAAGCTTGCAAGTCAAAAAGTTTAAAAAATTATAACATGAAAGCGAAATTCTTGTACTTTTTTTCCCCCCATTGGGCTTTAGAAAGATTGTAAATGAAAGCTAAGTTACTATCTATAGCAGGATTTGAAATGTCCTAATTTTCATTGTTTGATAAACGATCAGTGCGGTGTATTCAAATGCTAGTAATTACCTAACTTCTAAGGGCTGTAGTAAGCTGAAAAAGCGGAATATTTTAGTATAAAGCATAATTTGGATGTCTTCACAAGGGATGTTCCAGCTGAGATTCTATTGTACGTGTTGCTGATGCAGCAAGAGAAACAGTAGAATACGTTAGGGAAAGATTTTTTAGGAAAGATACATGAAGACAGATCACTTTTATTAATAAATTACTTTTGCAGTGATGCATAAAGATCATCTACGAGACATCTGTAGCACACAAACCTGTACAGAGGTGTGATTTTGTCTAGTATTACTCGTTTACAAGTAAGAATAGTGAAATGCAATAGAATTGGATTTTTAGTCCTTTTTATTTTGTTTTTCAGACACTGGTTTGTTGATTATACAAAATGAATGTGAATTAGCTTTTTAAAAACATCTTTTCAAGATATAATTTTGACAAGTTGTTGCTATTTTCCTTGTATTTATCAATTATTAATAAATAAAGCATGAATCCAGTGTCTCTTTTATTCATTGTGCTGAACACTAGTAGAAATGTTTCTGTTTCGGAGGGTTGATGTTAATTATAAACGTCTTATTATCCATATAAAAACACCTCACCTCCCTCTTTGTGGTAAGGAATAAATGCTATTTTTTTAAACTCAGGATATTTGATTCATGTATATGTATGGAGATATTTGTTTCAGTTCAAGTAGATTAAAGTCATAAAACCTTGCTAAGTTACCAACTGCAGTGGGTCATTAACAACTGTGGCAAGAAAGGTCATAATATGGGGCAAAACTCATTTAACAACTGTCTTGCTTAGCAACAGAAATTTTGGGCTCCATTATGGTCAAAAGTCGAGGACTATCTATATTGTGTTGCCAGCACTGAGAATTTTACTGCCCAAAGCCAAAACTCGGAAGTTCTTTATTAAACTATTTTGCATGTTAGTCCCACCTGCACTGTAATTATTGTGATTATGTAAATAAACAAGCATAAAAATGAATTGAAAGTTTGAAATACTAATCATAACATCAATCACTCTAGAACTGAATTTAAAACAGCACATATGTAGAATCTGACTTTAAAATCTGCAGCTAAGAATCCAACTACAGATGTGTTTATTGTAACTTATCCCCAAGGAATTATTTTCAACGCTTTTTACAAAATCCATGTATGAAAACTGCTTCTTTAGAGATCCTGATTTAACCCGTTACTCTGAAACCACAGGAGACATAATTAAGACTGAAAAGCTATTTGCATTGAACAAGGAAAAAAGTTTTATTAGGACAAAACATATATAGGTCATGATAAGAAATGCTTAATATAGGCTTTTAAGTATCAAAAACTGTTTATATTTTCCCCTCCTAATATATAAACAAAGTGCCAATAAAAGTAATTTGTTATTTATATAATATGGAGTGGTTTCAGACGGGGCAAATTTATCCTCTCCATATTCAATACCACAAGAGGATAGAATCCAAACTTCAGAACATAGTCTTTCCCATTGAGCCCAAGAAAATTGCTTCTAAGGAACTAATGGGATTAACACTGTTCAGCAGTGCAACCCTATCCATGTTGACCCAAAAATAGACCTTTGGAAGTTTTGTGTGACTTACATAAGTGTGTAGTAGCACAAAGCAAACTTTTTGTTGTAGGTAGAGTTGTATGTACCATATAGATTCCCACAAAATTGTTTATGACCTGTACAAGAAAATGATAGTCAAATACTATTTCTTCAGTATACACTTGGAACTCATCCTGCAGGGTAGAATGTTACAGGTCTTCTAGGGTATTAGGACAGCAGTGTAGTGTGTCTTCTCTACCAATAATGAGTTTGAACATCCAGCCAAGCTCTTTTGGAGCTACATTATACCCTGATTTTTCAGTTGACGTATAGTACTGACCAAAATTGTGCTGTATATACTTGACATATATTTGGAAAGTTTTTTTGCTAATTTGGTTTCTTGGTATCCACACAGTTGGATACCATACTGAACACAGAACATAGAATATTAAGAGTTGGAAGGGGCCTTGGAGGTTTTCTCATCCAATCCCCTGCTCCAAGCAGGAGACCCTATACCATTTCAGGCAAATAGTTGTCCAGTCTCTTTTTGAAAGCCTCTAGTGATGGAGCACCCACGATTTCTGAAGGCAAGCTATTCCATTAGGTTGATTGCTCTAACCATTAGGAATTTTCTCCTTACTTCTAGGTTGTGTCTCTTCTTGGTTAGTTTCCATCCATTATTTCTTGTCTTGCCTTTTGGTGCTTTGAAAAATAGTTTGAGCCCCTCAAATATTGGAACCAGTGGTGGGCTTCACATTTTTTTACTACCGGTTCTGTGGGTGTGGCTTGATGGGCAGGGGAAGGATACTGTAAAATCTCCATTCCCTCCCCACTCCAGGGGAAGGTTACTGCAAAATCCCCATTTCCTCCTGATCAGCTGGGACTTGGGAGGCAGAGAATAGATGGGGGCAGGGCCAGTCAGAATTTTTACTACTGGTTCTCCGAACTACTCAAAATTTCCACTACCGGTTCTCCAGAACTGGTTAGAACCTGCTGAAACCCATCTCTGATTGGAACACTGCTATCAAGTCTCCCCTAATTCTTCTTTTCATTAGACTAGACCAGTGGTGGGTTGCCCCCGGTTCGCACCAGTTCCATAGAACCGGTAATAAAACCGGTGGGAGGCTCTGCCCACCGACCCCGACATCCTCAAAACGTTCTGCATGCGCAGAAGAGCGTGCACACGAGCAAAGGGCCCCGCACACGCGGCCCCACTGCGAACCGGTAGTAAAGGTAAGTAGAACCCACCCCTGGACTAGACATAATTCCTGTAACCGTTCCTTGTATGTTTTAGCCTCTAGTCCTTTAATCATTCTTGTTGCTCTTCCCTGCAATCTGTCCAGAATTTCAACACCTTTTTTATATTGTGACCAGAATTGGGTGTAGCATTCCAAGAGTGGTCTTAACTAAGGCTTTGTAAAGTGGTACCGGAAACATACTGTATATTGGTTGGTTGACGAAAGTAACTTTTCTGTTGTGATATTTCAGTTTGTGTTGCCAAAGAATATACATAAATTGATTGAAATTGTATCTTTTGTGATGATAAATATTATTTCTATGCGTCTGATTCTGTCTGGACAAGACAGATGAAATTTTTTAGCATTTTTTTTTCTTATATAGTCATATGTTTTGTAGCTCTAAGTTTAGCATTTTCAAATTATACTGTTTTTAAGGGTGTGTGTGTGTGTGTGTGTGTATAAAAAATTTAATTGATATTTTTCTGCACATTATTACAGGCACCTGATAGGTAGACAATACAATTTACATATTTAATTAATAAATCAGAAGTTGTAAAGTATTTTCATTTGCTGGAGTGCTATAGAAAAAATGTGATGCATTTTCTGATTTCAGTGCAAAAATAATGCTATGACTCCATAAATACATCATCTTACTATGTAGTAATTCTTGGCAAGGAAAACCAATAACTGCACTTTTACATGATCTAAATTATGCTTAACTGTAAATAAGCTTAACTTCCACCATATAAATATCCTCTTTAGGGAGAAGGAACTCCCTAAACACACTTTTAGCTAGTTTTCATCTGCTTAAGAAGCAGCTGGAAATGGTTGCTTACTAAGTAAAATGCATCAAGTCAGCAAATCAGGGATCTTTCTCTGACAGAAACATAGAGTTCAAAGTACCGTTAGGCCATCAAGTTTAACTCTTGCCTAGTTGTGGGATTCCAGTTAAAATAACCCCAATAGCCTCTGCCAGAACACTTTTATTGAAACTGAATCCACACATGCTTTTTCTGCTGTTCTACCATATGCTAAGCATTGCACATTCAACTTATCTATTTTTAATGTTGATTGAGGTAATTTAAATTCCTTCTTATCCTACAAGGGAACATTCATAGAGCTAACAATCTCTGTAAAACACTATTCAGTAATCAAATGAACCAATCACTAGTTAGAAAATCCCAGGAAACATTAAAACATATGCTCTGCTCTTCTAGTGTTTTTATTTCTGCTCTTCTCAGCATTTCTTTCTGAACCTAAGGTAATTGCAGACTAAAAAATTCACAAGGAACATCAAATAAAAACCAGTGGAGAATATATGATGCCTTGTTTGACGTGAACTACAAAGCTGTAATTCTCAGGTACTGAATTCCCAGATCCTATGAGCTACGTAAGCGTACAGTCACCAATTATCTAAACTATTTTAAGAGCAAAACTGGACTGTTGTCATAGCAACAGCCAATCCTTTTCATCTCACTTCCTGCAGTACCATCTTGGATAACACACTTTGGCGTCATGTGGGCACTGGTCGGCTAAGTGAAAAGCAAGTCAGCTGTCTGATGAGAGACCTTATCTCTTCACCTAATAGAAGAATAGTGATATATTAAGACTAGAAATACATTACTATTCTGCCTAAGCAAATGCAGAGGTGGGCAGGAAGATCAGGGGCTCCTCATAAAATGATATATAAATTGCAAGCCAGGAAGGAATTTTCACTCTCAGTGGGTTAACCATAGAAACATCTGAAAGGCTTCCTTCATGTCTCCCTGACAGCTAAAATGGAGAGAGATTAGGAGGAAAACCAGTAGGGAATATATATTTTTATGTGTACTTGCAGGAGTGCAAGTTTAATCATTCTGGCATATGACTCACAGGGTGTTGTACATAATTGGCTTGGTCCCTGGAGCCATATTTTTGCTTCTGGCTTCATTATTCTCTGCAAGCAACTGCTTTACACCCAACTCTGCTTGGGAAGTCCCTGGGTCTCAGCAAAGCAAAACCAGAGCGGAACTGAAATGACTTTTGCTTAGAACATTGCTGAGACATTTATTTTCTCCCTGTCCTAGAAAAATAAAAGGCAATTATAATCATATTGGCCTATGAGGGAAACGGAAGGGACGTGGTGGCTCAGTGACTAAGACACTTAGCTTGTCAATCAAAAGGTTGGCAGTTCAGTGGTTCGAATCCCTAGTGCTGCATAACGGGGTGAGCTCCCGTTACTTGTCCCAGCTTCTGACAACCTAGCAGTTCGAAAGCACATAAAAAATGCAAGTAGAAAAATAGGGACCACCTTTGGTGGGAAGGTAACAGCGTTCCGTGCGTCTTTAGCATTTAGTCATGCCGGCCACATGACCAAGGAGATGTCTTCAGACAGCGCTGGCTCTTTGGCTTTGAAACGGAGCTGAGCACCGCCCGCTAGAGTCAGGAATGACTAGCACATTTCTGCAAGGAGAACCTTTATCTTTACCTTATGATATGAGGGAAATGTCTGAGTGTTATTTGAATTAGAATCAACCAAAATGACACATAAAGTATTCAGGTTCTGCAAGACTCTTATCAGGCATGGCATTATATAAAATGGGATTTGGAATATTTTTTTAAAATACTCAAATTAGGCCAGATAACTAAATTATGAGATATGCAATTCAAAAAACCTAGGCGTTAATGGACTGAATGCAGGGTTCATTTCAGGAGGAGGCAGTATCAGATTC